TTGGGGTGGTTGGGGCGGGATTACATGCTGACGCAACCCTATTCCTAAAGTAAAAGGCGCACCCACCGCCCGCACACGGTCTACACACCCTAAGCCCTTAACCCAAAACCCTAAATCTCACCACTGCGTCTGAAATGCACCAGGCTTGCATCAGAATTGGTGGTTTTGAATTTGCACCCACCCTGGGCCGGAAGTCCGGGCCTGAAGTGCACCGCCCCCACCCCCCCGGGCGTCTGAAACATACAACACACCACCACCACTACCACCACCACCATCGTCATGCTCATCATCAGCAGCAGGCAGCATCATCTTCCACAGCAGCCACAAGAAGAGCAACACAGTGCCCTACGTCAATGATGACTTTATAGCCTTACAACCTCTGGTGACATGGCATCGGTCATGTCGTCTGGAGTGGTCTCTTCTGTCCGGGTCCTGGCCATGTCTCTCCCAATAGAACTTCCCGAGTGGATCTTTGCCACCTACCACGGCATGGCTACATCTGTCCAGAAGCGCATCTTGCAAATGCTTTCCCGCTCGTGCCCGCATCGGCTGGTTGGACGCCTTCGCCGACATCATTTTTGCCCATCTTGTCCAAGTCTTTTGGGATCTCAATATCTTCATTAAACTCGTCCACGTCCGGATCCATGTCCACTACGTTAACGAGCTCGATCTCGTACTCCAGGGAAGACCCCGGCGGCACCTTATCTCTACCTTGATCTCCGAATGCCAGCTCTGGGGCGATGTAGAACCTTGAGATCTCGCCCTTGCTCATGCTCATGACCTCAACGCCAAAATGCACTGCAGATCACAGCATCGCCTTACCATGCGGTCAACGACACTACAAGAAATCAGATGAGGTGCTGACTCTTCCAGCCCTCGCATCACCTCGCCATGCCCAATTCGGAACTTCAGAGGTCCGGTGTTATCCTCCCTGGTAGTCTCGAAAATGTCCCCATCAACAACTCTCGCCGTGAAGTGAATGGCGACCTCGGTGTGAGCTGGAGGACCCGAAAGGCTTGTTCAAACGTGGTGATGGGTAGCCATGGGCTAGCGGGAAAGGAGCCAGGATGAGCCATGCAACTTTATCTCCGAGCATTGGCCGAACGACTCTGGATTGCCGCGGAGACGGAGTCAGGATCTGCTTCAACAACCTGTCCAAGATGTCCAGGAACAACGACCCTAAAATGTCCATGGCCCCGCCGTTCGACATTGCTTGGCAAAGACTGCTGCCACGATGCGTGTCATCGTCCAAAACATCGATCGCCCAGCCCTCTTCGGCGTCTCGCTCATCTCGCTCGTAGTACTCCTTCTCCACATCACTTGCTGAGCACTCTCCTTCCGCAGCCCTTCAGCAGTGGCCTGCCACTGCTTTTCAAGGTCTTCGCGGGGCCCCACAGGCGTCGCCTGGAGCTGAGCACAGCGGACCTCGAGACCACGAGCCCCTTCCCCGAAAAGCCCGAAGGGCCGAAGCCCAGGGTTTGGACCATAGGCCGAGAAGCTGGGCTCCTCCGGCACAGGCCGGCGACGAGGCAGGCGACGGCACCGGCACGACCTCAACTTGGAGCGATCCAGGTTTGGCCGATAGAAAGCAGCTATTTCCTTGACTTCGGACATGCCACCAATTGCTGGTGCCACAGGTGCACCGCGCACTTTGCTCGAAGTGCTGGTGTGGGGCACCCTGCAGTATCGCGAGAGGGCATTGCACATGGCACTTGGAGCGACAGTTTCAGCTTCCCACCAAAAAACACGAGCCAGGGGGCCATGACACTGCCGGCACAGCACTGAGAGGCGTTGGCCCGAGCAGCATGTGAGGTGGAGCCAACGGATAGATTCTACATACGCCTTCTTTTCCCTAGGCCTTCTACATCGATTTCTGTTCAACGGATCCGGATGTGATAAATGCGGCTGAAGGTAGAGCTTCACATGATTTGCAGGTCTCCATGCAACGCACATGGCGAACAGACAGAACAAGAGCCGAAGCGGGAGAAAGACATCAGGCGGTTGCATCAGGGCAACCTTTGCAATTACAACCCTTACACCTCGATACTCCACTCCCTGGCTAGAAGTCCCATCTATGTCAGCAATCACCAATTGCACAGCAGTCCAGTCAGCTGCCTCTTGGTCAAAGTGCCTCAGATGGAAGGGCGAACAGAAATTGCAATAGCTGCAATAGAGAAGGCACGGGGGGTCTGTGCGGGATGGGAGGTCACAAGGCTCGACACGTACTCTGCCCCACGGCCAAAACCCGATGTCGGCCACGGTGCGGACGACATCGGACGGCCCGGCGAGGAGCGAAGTGCCAGTGTCCACAGCCGCCTGTTGAACGACAGTCGGTGCGAATGTGCATCTGCAATCGCCCACACAGGAGTGATGCTTGTGCTCACGGATTGCAGGCCCTCGGAGCAATTACAGCGAAATGCTGTGGGCCCAGCCTGACATTTGCCGTTGCAAAGGCCCTGGAGCTTGTCACCGACTGCGACATCCTCCATCTCTACCTCCGTGATGTAAACTGAACTCAGAGCCACATTTGGAAGTTAGTCGCCGCATCAAGTTGAAGGCCCGTCCTGCCAGTAGCCAGGGTTCGACACCGGCACCCAGAACAGCTGGTCTGCCATGCGGTCACTCTTGAACCTTGAGGATTCGGGAGGATTTGAAAAGTCTACTGAATCTTGCAGCAACGCTGGCCGTGTGCTTCAGGCAACATCTCCGTGATGGCGCCCACCATATTCGCATTCCGTCAAGTTCCCAACACAGTGGAGCCATCTCAGGCCTGCACTCCCCAAAGGATATTTCGCTTTCGTCGCGATCGTCGGCAGCCAGGAATACAGAAAACAAGTTCTTCTTCAGAACCTTCGGAAATTCGAAACGCACGTCGCAACCAAGCTGGCACTGCAGCGATTTGGGAAGTTCAGCAGTTGCCCGCTCCTTCTCGGATCATGCAATCGAGTACCTTGCAAGCCAGTCTCAGGTCTGAGCTCGATGCGCTGCACCTCAACCCTGACCTCCATCGCGTAACTTGCTGTCGTGAGAATGCGTGAGCCCACGTTGCATGCATGCCTGACAAGCTGACCCAAAGACCTCCGAGCCAGCTACATTGAAGTGTGGCGCCTGCGACATTTGCGGCAGCCCCAACCTGAAAATCGCACAACACTGCGAAAGCCGGTGCAACTGGGCAGCGAAGCCATCGGGTTTTTGTCATGACTCAGCAATGCCACAAGGGAAACAGAGAAGAGCCGGCGCGGTAATCAGCACAGGGTTCTGGATTAGGTCTGGCAGCTCTACGTACTACTTGGCAAATGCGGAATGATGCGGAGGTTCTTTTTTGTATCTAAATCCCTGTTCCCTGTGTCTCCCCCTTGCATCCATGTCCCGGGCTATTGCCACAACAAAAAGGAAGCCTTCCTTATTGGGGTCTATGGGGATCAAAGCCCTTTAATATTCCTTTCATTATCAGGCATGGAGGACCATGGAAAGTGCACGTTGGCTTTGGGGCAGTTGTGCCCCTGCCACCTTTGCCCCTGTTCCCTGTTGTTGCCCCACGTTTGGAGTCTTTGTCCTTTTCTGCGTGGGCCTCGAGGGACCTACCTGTTTGGGCTCGGACAGCCAGGGCAGCGCGTACAATGCTAGGGCAAGGCAGGCTTGGCATATCCCATATGATGGCGGCATCAACAGAACCCACAACACTGACTGCAACAAAGGCAGCAGACTAGGCAACACAAGTTGAACCCTGCTGGCTGCCCGCGAGGACCTGGGGCGGGGTGCTTCAAAGCCAAGCAGATCAACCCTACGGGGAATGCCGGCATCCGAGAACAGGAAGCATAGGTCGTCACACCGTCCCCTCGCACTGAAGAGCCACATGTTCGGCCAGCTTGGACGACTATGTCGTGAAAAGGTGCTTCCCAGTCAGCAAGGTTTGCAGAATGCACGCCCATGAGTGAAAATCTACCAGAGTCGAACACAAGCCCTTCCATTGCCACCAGCAAGGGCATCGCAAGTGCAAAACACCTCTACTGAGGCCACCTCAAAGAACATCATCAAGTTCATAAGGACGAGTCCACGCCGCCTATATTACTGCCGCTCCGGTGCGCTACGAAGCCTCCCCAGACCAGCCAAAAGCATGGCAGCCGACGGGGAAAAAAAGGATTGACACGAAGACCGCATATTGCTGACAATCTGGCAATTCCGAATCCCAAGCGACGAGTTGACATGAGATAGCCCCCGAAGCCCACCCAGAGCTCTTGTAGCAGCGCCACCCGAAGATGCCATCGAAGGGTACCAGGCTAAAAGGCTGCTCCGTCTCCTGCAGCCAGTACGAGTGTAGAAGATGGTGGATCGTTTACAAATAGGTGGACATGAATCATGGCATATCATACCCTGAATAAGTCTTGCTTGCTCATCCCACAGGCGTGAGCTCTGCACCAGTGGGTGCCTGGTTGTATTAACACCTCATCGACTCTTCATGCAACAACTACCAGTGTCACCCAATATCGACACCTCCTCGGGTATGCAACTCCCCATGCGTGGACTGTGCAAGGGTTCGCGGTCAGGGCGGCCCAAACAACTTTATCAACTTTAGCGTGTGAGTGAGGTTGCCGTCGCCTGTTTGCAGCCAGCCTCCCACTAAGGAAACCTTGATTCAATCCTGATGTAATTTGTTGACTGTGCCTCGGTGACCGAGATGAAATTGCCGTGGGTGCAGATGTCGCCGAGGCAAATGTGGTCCTGCGACTGCCACTTCTGCTTCGAGCAAAGGCAACCGAAGTCTCGATGCCTTCAAACTCACGCATTGGGGGGCTTCGATGCTCCAAGCTTTCCTCGGGCACTCCGAAGTCGCGAGTCTATAGGCCATTGAAACGCTGATGAAACTGGAAAACCCTCCAGTTCTGGAGGGAGTATCCGCAGCTGACTGCAGCGACTGGGCTCTGGGAGTGCAGATCTGCTGTGTGGTTGTCCAAGCGCAGCGATTCGATCCCAGCTCCAGGGCAGTGCCCGTGAATCTGTAGAGCGCCACCGTCATTGTGCACAAGTGTTTTTTCTTGTGCACAGTAGATATGCATGAACTCGTGCACTCACGTATGCATCTATCCGCCTTGGACTACATACACATCTTGCATCTACAGTACATGTGTACGTTTGTTCGTTCGCTTGTACGATTGTATACACGAGTGTGTTTGGGTGTGCGTAGATATGTGTCAATACATATATGTACACATGTAGGTAATATACACAAACACATGCATGCATGCAAACATACATGTACATCACACACATGCATGCATGCATGCATGCATGCATGCATGCATATATAGTTACATCAGACAGACAGACAGACAGACAGACAGACAGACAGGCAGACAGACAGACAGACAGACAGGCAGACAGACATCCGTACGTACATACGCAAGTACGCACGTGCGCACATATCTGCATACATACAAACATACATAGATGCATGCATGCATACATACATACATACACATACACATACACGCACGCAGATGCATGTATGCATGCATACATACAGTGTTACATACACACATCGCACGAACATGCAAAAACGGGTACATCCGCATGTACGCGTACAGACAGGCAGACAGACAGACGGACAGACAGACAGACAGATACATGCATGTCATACATGTTTGCCGTAGACGTAGAAACGTAGAAACATGAACCTGACTGACGCTGTACTCCTAGAGCGCGAATAAACTCTGTGTATGCGGTATGCATGCATAGCGACAGAGTACTCTGTGGTGCTCTCTCCCAAGCGGGCTAGAGGCGCCGGCAGCCGCGCTGTAAACGGTAAAGAATTGTGTCACGAACTCACTGGTGACCTGACTGGTGCACTTGAGAGTGCGCCAGTGGCCTCCACAGGTTAAGAGACCCACGTAACCCGTCTGTACAACGAAGCTAGGTACGGTGTAGTGTGGCGACTCGAGTCGCGAAGGGGTAACGCGGGCCCAAAGGGTTGGAAATTCTGAAAGTGAAGCCAGCCGAAGGGGCTTCTGATGAAATGCAGGATAAATTGCTTTGTTGTCTTGGCTCCTTGCGTTACTTTCCGGTCAAAGCCTCCCCAGCACTAAAAAAGGGCTTTCGTGAATGACGCCAGCCGCGCTGCTGGCAGGAAGGCGCAGGGATCAGGCAGGGTTCTTGCGAAGCCCTACTAGTTGTGGCACATGGCACTTGGCCGGAACACCTCAGCTCGTTTGGCCTTGGCCTTCGAGGCGCTCAAGGAGGATGTTGTGCATGGCAAGGATGTCCTCCTCACCATCGCTAAGGGTCAGGAAAAAATCATCGTCCAAGTGCATCAGGGCTGGCATCCAGGCCTGAAGGATCTGTAGCTGCGTTGTCAGTTCATTACAGGTTGGGGAATCCAACATCTGCACGGCCTTCATACGGAAGCGCTTTTGGCTGCCAGTCACACCACTCGTTGGGTTGGTGTGTTTGAAGGAGATGTCCCGCAGTGCGTTGAACTCGGCCTCGCCGTCTCCGATGCTGACCACATTCTTCCAGCTCCCTTTTCCATATATTTTGTTGATGACCCGCCTCATCGCCGTCTCTTTCTTCTTGATTGACTGGCCCATGAGGATTACCTCTGCTTCCGATCAGACTGGTCTACTTTCCCCAATTTACTCCGATTTTGAGCACGGTTCCTCGAAACTCCTGTGCCCTTCGAGCGCAGCACAAACTCTGAAGGAGAGTCTGAAAGAAACCTCCCTGCCGACAGAATCGCGAGGCATCCGCATTCCTGTATGTCATATCTTTACAAGACCCAAAGCGGATCCTCAAAGCCTCACAGCAGCAACAAGTCTTTAAAAGAACGAAGTTTGACAAAACCCTGACGTTTTCAGCCAAGTCCACTTCTTGCTCGACCAGACCCGGCCCAGAGGCGTGGCGGCATTCGCCGCCGCCTGTTGCCCAATACATTCTGCTCTTACTATGCTCTCTTCGCTCGTCTCGCTTTGCTGATGGCCTGAAGAATGCCGCCGAAGCATCACCTCACTGGCGTAGATCACCTCCACACCTGGAACACACGAGCTTGGCGTCAGCATGAAGCAAAGACGAAATAAAAGCCAAGCCCTGCCAAGCCCTGCCAAGCCCACCTGCTTCTTCCCATGCTTTGGCGAGTTCGGGCATAAAGGCCTTCCTCGGAGCTGTTCGTCGGGGGTTCCTTTCTGATAAGGGCTTCGGTGCTTGACCTCGGGATTTCTACACACACACCCAGGACGTGCAGGAATGGAAAGCTAAAGCTACAACAGCTCCAACTCTTTGCTGGGCATTTTGGCATGAATATGGACGGCAGGGCAAGTACTAAGGCGTTCATGACTCCTCGCAGTCAAGGTCGACTGACGATCTGTATAGCCTGACCCCGCGAATCCAATGCAAGCAAGGTTCATGGTGTTGTGCTGCCAGGGCTTCCGGGAGAGTGTGACGCAAACGACCTCTCGCTTTGGGGGCAGTTGGGCGGCTGGCGAATGTTAAAAACTTTACGTAGAGCTTGGGGCTTGGGGCTTTGGGGAAGCCGTGCACAGCAGAGAGAGAGAAGACGTGGGACGACAGGGCCTGGCCCAGGGCAGAGGCGGCGCAGAGAAAGGCCCGAGCGGCTTTGTCCAGCTCCGCCAGGTCGCGTGCATCCTCTTCCGACAACTTTGGCGGTGCCCCCGAGACCCATTCCCGCTGCCAAGACTTGAACTCGCTCTTTCCAGCAAGCCAGGTGGTGGCGAAGAGAGTGTCGTCCCAGTCGACAAGAATCACTCCTTGCTCCGGGTCCTGCTGCTACAAGTAACACACGAGATTTCATGCTTCTTCTGGCTGTCTTGTTAAGAGGTCTCCACTGGCTCTACAGCAAGTCCTTCCAGAGAGCGCTGGATGTCTGCGTTCCAGTCTCGTCGATCCTGCTGGAAGCCTTCCTCACAAGAGCATCCTCGCCGTCCAGATGGAGCAAGCCATCTTCGTCCACTTCGAAATCGTTGGACATGATTTGTGTCACAGCAATCTCATCAAAGTGAGGTGAGGTCGGAGGCGGCTCAGAGCACACGATGGAATCTCTCCTATGATAGCAATGGAAAGGATCAAAGGCTGTGGTGCCCATGCTTCGCTGCAAAGCCTGGATTGGCATGCTTGCGGCAACACGACTCCGGTGTGTGGGCGTCGTTCGCATCGTGCGACTCCGGAGGGCTTGCAGCGGCATGCTTCTCGCACCAAGATTGGCACATTCGTCCAGTATCCTTCACAATTTCTGGCAAAAACTCAGCCAGCAAAACTACTTCCGCAACTACCGGCCGTTTCTTGGCAGCCGAGCATCCTGGGAGCCACCAGTCGGAAGGCTGAGTGGTCGCAGGACTTGCGGAGGAGCTCGTCGCTCGGAGCGCCAAGATCATGAGTGGACAGGCTGCTTATAGACTGGTGTTTCGTCATAAGCGGCGCTGGTTCCATCTCTGTCACACAGCATGTCGCCATTGGCAACCCACAAACGGAAGCTCAATCTAAAGAGATCGGATGCTTGCTGACTTTTGCGCTTTTTGTCACGGACAGAGTCTTTTCCTGGCATGGGATGTGGAAGTCTGGATGGCCGTTGGTTGATCTTTGCCATTGGTGGTGCCGTTTTGAAGTGCCTGACAACAGCAACCTCCGAACCGAATTGGCACGCTGCCACAGCAAGCTTGCAAAGGCGAGACACCATGCATGTACGTACCAAAACCCTGATACCTAGCTTGGTCGAAGGATGGAATGGATACTCGCCAATACTCGCTCCGGAAAGCTACCTTCTCAGAGGTACTACAGCAGACCTTCCTTCATGAAGATTCCGCTGATCTCTCCAGTTCCGAAAGTGATGGTGACCACGTCGCGGTCTGAGCACAAACATTGAAGTTGAGTCCAACCCTCGATGTGAGACGGACGTGGGGCCTCCGTTCGGCTTGACCTGCCAAGGACAAGCTTGCCACTTGTAGAGCGGAGACATGATACAGCAAAGAGAAGCCCCGAACACTTTTTGAACTGGATGGGCTCACTGCTTGGAGCTTCTGCCGAGTTCGTGCGCCCGAGCGCCCTACACTACGCTTTGAGCTCGTTGCTCCGACCTCCGAGCTCGAGGAAAACAACCTGGCTGCTCCCCCCAGCTCCAATGCAAGATCCCATCCTCACTGGAGGGAATCCCTTGATGCATGGTTGGGAGGTGGACAGCTCCTGCCACAAAACGATCAAGGCATCCGAAGTTGGGCCACACTTCAAGGTGGGCGGTCCTGACAGTTGCTGGGTCACTGTCTCGCGTATGGTCCAGCTCCACCTGGTATCAGTCTTGGACAGTGCGTAACACTCTGGCATTCTCGATTGGACAATATTGGTGCGTCCGGTGCCAGACACCTCCTACCTCCTGACGAGAGGCCATGCTAGGCACTGAGAGGCTTTGGACAAGTTTGCAGAGCTTCCGCTACGTCGCATCAACTTTCCGATGGTACAGAGCTCCATGCAAAGCAAACGACACTCGGAAGCAAAAGGACCAGCAGTTTCTGCAATTCACGCCGAATCACGGAAGCCTGCAGACGGGCCAAAGAGTCCTGCAACAGCGGGGCAGTTCACAGGTATGCAACTAAGCTCGCAATCCGGTGCTCTTAAGTAAGATATCTATCGTTGACAGAGGGCGGGTGTTGCGTAGCGTCCGAAGTCCTGCCCGAAGCCCATAAAGCACTAGTGCAGCTATTGCAGAACTCTGGCTCGATGGGCCTTTGCCGCTGGTCGCCCAATTATACCTGGCAGCTGTAGAAACTGAAAATCAATGCACTGACTATAGATTTGTACAGCCACAGCTTGTGTAGAACATGAGAATGTGAACTCTCAAGCTTCCCCCAAGCACTCAGAAGCACATGCCGGAGGAGCCCGGTACCCGCAGCGGGCATGGCGCCTCCCTTGGCCCCCCAGGAGGGGTCGGTCGATACCTCACCTTGCTCGAAAGCGAGTTCTGGAGTCCGTTGGGGGCAGGGCAGAGGATCCTCGCGTGCTCAAAAGCTGGGACCCCAGCCCCAGGCACCCCAGTCCGGAGCCCAACCTGATTTAGCGGATTTAGAATTTTCTACGGGCAGAATTCCAAGATCTCGACATCGGCCCGCAATCACCCATCAAATATGAGCGGCTGCCTGCGTTCGGCGTGCCGGTCCAACCCTGGGCATCAGGGGTCTGCAACACTGACTTGTGAGACAGTTGTTGTCGCTGTGCACTTGTGATGTGGTGACAGCAGATGTGAGCACATGGTGTGGGAAGGAGAACAGACTTCAGTGCTGAATACGTTGGCAGGTTAGCCTAAACTGGCATGGCAGTGTCATTGAACCTCAGCGGGTGAGAAAACACGCCTTGCATGCCAGCCCTCTCGCATGCGAGTGCCATCGAATGACAACTCGCACTCGGCAAAAAAACAAGTTGGCTAAGGCGACAGCTGCAGCATCCTTTGCTGCGTTGCGCGGTGCCGGCGGCATGTGCGTCATCCTCAGCAACGTGCCGAGGTCTGCCGAGAGGTGCAGGGCCATTTACACCAGACACTGGTGTTCCTGGGAGCCTCGACGTTCGGCACTCCTCAAGCTCACCGTGGCTCGACCTGCACATGCAGCCGCATTTGGGACGGAGAAGCTCGAAGAGCTTCCAGAGATCTTCAGACGCCTGAAGAGCTCGATATAACGGCCCTGGATCTCCTGGCGCTGCTTCTCATCCTCGCACCCGACATCACCCGATGACCCGAAAAGTGTTCAAGAGGCTTGCTTTCAGGGTGCTCTACTTCGTCTGAGTGGTGAGCTAGTGCCTTTTGAGCGAGCTGGGCATTGGGAAACACGACGATCGCCTGCCCAAGGAGCACTCTTCGCAGAAGCTCACAGTCTTGCAGGCACAAGAGCATGGCAACTGATGTCCCACTCTTGCACGACGCCCGCGTGCTGGGCGATGAGAGCCTCGCCCATGTGCCGGCCGTCAGGCCTCTTCATGAAGGTGATGTCGTGCCTCGGCGAACCGCCCTAAACCTCCGCTCACGTTGGGGCAAAGTGAAGAGACTTCTCCAAAGTCGCGGCCAAGAGCAGGAAACATGCCCGAAGTTTACCAACTCCAACCCCGAGTAAATGTGTGCCACAAGTACGGGGATCACGTCGCTGAGAATTAGCTGCTGGCTGCTGCGATAAGCTTGGACTCCATTATCTCACGATCTTCAGCCTTCTACATCTAGGAAACAACATGCAATCTTTGGCCACGCATGTCTTGACTACTAATCTGGACACGAACGCCTTCCCTGCCTTAGCTTCAATAGCTGAAACCGCTCCTGCGAGAGTCTCTCGTGCTGCCTGCTTCTGGTTTTGCGAAAGCGAGGGTCTGTCTTTGCTGAGCCTGCCAGACCTGCGCCTTAGGCGCCGTTTATGTGTTGATGGAAGTGGTCTGTAGGCCAGGTGGCAACCAGAGTCGTCTGGCTGTTCACGCTCCAACCCTGCACACTAACCACCTCTTCTTTCGCAGGCGGAGGAGCGACCCCCATATGAAGATGGTATGGGGACGCTTTCAGGGAAAAGGCTGCGACGGCAGAGCCGCCGCAACATTGACAAAAAGGGAAACCTCTGACCACAGGAGAAAGGACCCTCAAAAGGCGTCCCATAGAAAAGTCAATGAACATCGAAAGGGGCTTCCCATTGCCAAAATATGCGCTCTGCATGCTCTCAGATGAACTCTGGCGAAACACAAGTACTCCAAAACAGAGGGTAACATTACATCCCCGATTGCATCTCAGTCCCACTACCTTGCCACGTGATTCCACTCTATATCACTATATCTCTATGGCGCAACATGAAGCAGCAACCGAGAGCGTATGAACAAACAAATCACGAGAACGAGCACCCCTGTTCGTGTCAAATGGAGTGGCAGGGCAAGCACAACATCCCTTTCCCGTCATGCCGTGCAAGGCCAGGTGCATGAGGGAGTACAACATCACACAGGCACAGCTACTACGCCAGTCCACGTCTCAGTTCGCACAAACTCTGGTAGCGACAAAACATGAAACTAGAAAAGGGGAAGCCCCTAACGTTACAGAAGATTCACAACTGTGGACTGCTGAGGCAGTGTGCCTTATCCAAGGCTTCATAAATGAGGATGTGTTGAGGTTCCGAACAGCATCAGTACTGTTGTGCGTTTACAGCCAGAGCTTCTACGTACTGCAGCAGCCAAGGGGTCTCGCGGCACTCATCCCCGACAGCCCCATACCAGAGCTAGAAGAACTTCACAAGCAGCTTCTCTCTCGCTCTCTCGCCCTGCGTATCCGCAGTTTTTCGCCTGACGTCACAGAACGTTAGTAAGCCGCAACCCCGACTGCAGCCTCACATGTTCTGCACAACTATCACCGAAAGAGCCAAAACATGCCAAGACCCCACCACCTTGCAGAACTGAGGCTGGATGCTCCCGGATGCTGTAGTCGCTCAGGAAATAGAGAATGTCTTCCACACCCGCTTGGAATGGCACCTTTCAAATTGTGGAACTCGGGGCTTGGGTCTGTGGGAAGCAGCTCGGGTCGTGCTGAGGGGGCGTTCTGGAGATGTATGAATGCATGTCGAAGGCCAGTAAAAGTGTGGCTTGCAAGTGTAAGCTTGGCTTGTGGAACCAGAGTACGGTACCATGCAGTGCTGTGCTGGAGCGGACCTGCATCACTGAGACCACACTCCACGATTGCGTCTGTGAGGCACTATGCCCTTATTAGGCATTCCTTTCATGCTCGAACTCTGAGGAGAAAACTCCGCGCATCCGGACCACAGGGCTATCCTTTCCTGAGCGAGTCGGATTTCTGCTCGCAAATTGAGTCCTACTGTAGGGCCGGCGTGGCACCTCTTTGCAGATGCAGAGTCAAGAAGTAAGTGCTTTTTCGGGATTGAGGTCTTATGCGGCTTCGACAATGGCAAGATTGAGCCGGTCGACCCAGATTGTTGGCGACAGTGTCCAAGTTCTCGCCGTTCTTGTAGCCCTGAGAACTTACAGTACGTCGTGAAATCTACTGTCGGTCGCCGAGTACGACATAAAACATTCGCCGGGAACAACAAGGACTGTCGTGCAGTTGAATTATGTCACAGACTGCACATGTGCTTGCTGTGACTTTGCTGGCGGTTTCTGAGTTCATGGCTTGCGCAAAAGCACGCCTTGGCGGTCCGGCAATGCACGGCGGGCACAAGAAGAGCGCGTGTTGCATGCCGAGTCCAGGGCAAGGTGTCGGAAGTGTGCCGCACCGGATCGCGGTTGGCTGTGCGCAGGGTGTCGCAGAACTGCTCCCACCTTCGTATTCGTACTACTCCCTAAGTTCAAGTCTCCAAGTTGTGCTGTTCTGGACGATCCTACCGGCAAAGGCCGCAACACGGACAGGTCCTGTCCTTAGATACCGACCTCGCCGCCTTCTACGATTATTGCCATGTGTTCCAGGCAGTCGTCGAAGCCGTCACATAATATACATCAGCACCTCGCCCGATTTGATGTCACGCAGCCATGGATGCAACACATGTATGGATTCGACCCCACTTTTGTTCCCATACACAAACGTTGTTGGCTGGTTGTTGGAGAGTACAAGACGAGCCCAGATTCACCCGAACGCCACTCGCTGGCAATCACTCACACACGTTCTGCCCTTTAGACGATGAAGCCCTGACACCATGCAAAAGGCCCCCACTTGGCACGTCCATCCTCGCTGGATCGCTGGATGTGCTTCACCTGCTCACAGCGTGGCTTCCATCTCCGGTGTTAAGCTCGGGTAACAGGGCTTGGCACCAATCGAGGTTCTGTTGCTATGCTTAGTAAGCTGCAATATGAACAGGACGAGACTGAGCCCATTGTCGGTCCACAGAACTTCAGGCAGTCAACAGTAGATCCACCGCAGTATATCCAGCCACATTGTTATGACAAGTTATGACTCAATGCAAACTAGAAAGCCATTGCGTAGGAACACAACGGCACTTGAAGTGGCCTCCGCGACCAACGCCTCCTTGTTGATAGCGTCTGCCGTGCCGCCATGCATGCCTCAAATAAAGCACAGACCACTGGGCTTGCCTGCGATCTGGAAGCCGACCAGCTTCATGTCTCTATTTTTGCAGTTCTTGCGATGTGGAGATGAGAAGGTGCGAAGGCCACAGCTGCAGGCCCGTGAAGGCCTTCTTTCTGAGACTGAATGCATGACTTTGGTGATCGTGGCTGCCAGTGTCCATGCCGAGGCTGCCGCGGAGGAAGGCTTCGTGGTGAACCTTGTAGAAGTTCGGGCTGCAGTATGGCCAAGGCAGTCTTACAGGCCCGCGCCCAATTGCCAGTCCGGAAGGAACCCTTACTCTGAAACTGAACCACCATTGACAAGAAACTACGAACAGCACCTGGCACCACAAGAACACGCGAAGCATGCGGTTCGACATCTTCTGGACACCTCCTCCAGTATCTTGACACCGTGAAGACCCTCCCAAACCTTCTGGGCTATTGGCCTTGGATTCGTCCCAATCGTCCAGCGAGGCCCTGGGGAAGTCTTGGTCTTCTTTTTTCTGGACAATCGGAATCGGCATCACACTCTGCAAGCACGCAAAAGAACACTCTTGGCTTCAGAGATCATCAAGCTCGTCTCCACACGGCAGATGCCGATGTCCCACACAGAAGTTCGCATGAGGGAATACATCAGAGTGTTCAGCCGCTTCATGTAAGAATGCTCGGAAGATTACTGGTTGATTCCTGCGACATACATCGCGAACTTCAACGGGTGCCCGAAAGCCAAGCCTGAAGAGTTCGATGTACCGGCCGTGTATCTCCTGCTTCTGCTTCTCCTCCAAAAACTATTGCTATTGCTGACAGCGCTGTGCACGTGTTGCGTACACCTCTGCCTTTGCGAATGCAACAGAACGGTTGGCCTCGAGAGCCTTTTCTGCAATCTCAACGGAGGGCATGATGACATAGGCCTCTGCAGACACTTGGAAGCGTCACTCTGCCTCTGGCGGAGATATTCTGCGGGATCTCCAGTTGCCTCGCCGGTCTTCTTCCCATCGGCCCCGCGGCCCATGACGATGCTCTTCTCGTCGATGCTGTACTCCGCCCTAGACAAAACTCCGTACACTTGCAACGCAATCCTTTATGGACGGGGAAGAGAAGCCAGCGGCCAGCCACAGTAAATCAACAATCCAAGCCCGACTTCAACTTCGATGCGCAGGCTCCCTGTGCCAAAATCGAGGTGCTGGCAAGAAGGACACCACGTCTGACAGCTCGCTTTGGAACGGTACCTCTACGGGTCCTACCCTGCAGTCTTGCAGATATGTGCTGGGACGCTTGCATGCATGAAAAAAGCATGCTGCATGACCAAATGCTTGGCTCAAGCTCGGACCCTCAAAACGTGCCAGAGGCCACCCCACGCAGACGTATAACTTTGCCGTAGATCCTGCTTCTCCAAGGCATTTTGTGTTCATGGTAAGGAGCCCTGACCCGCTTAAGCCGTCGGTCGGAGCTCCATCTTAGGTGTCACACCCGGATTCCATTCAAACCTGAGACCGCGGCGGCTCTGTCGGCATCACTCCTTTTTCGAAGGCCTCTACAAAGCAGAATTTGCCATGCACGCCTGCTTATTATCATCCACCACAATCATGCATCGCATTGTAGCAGAAGCAGTCTACCGTCAGCCTGCCTCGATCGCCTTCCTCGGCGACCGTTTACTGTTTTGAAAAAGACCCGCCTCCAGGAACATCTGTAGCGCTTGCGGCGTGTGCCGTGCAGGGTCCCGGTTGCCAGTGCCTTATCTTGCAAACAACAAGGGATGGATGTGACGCAGATGTCACATGGCTTCGCCTGCCAGGCTGGCACGAGCCAGGCTGGCACCTGGCACGGAACACATCTAAGGCCTGGGCGAAGCACCGTGCAGTACTCCTCCCACTTGCTCTTGCCATCCTCATGGTTGCGCTGGATCCTGGGAGGATGCAACGCCCCAAGCAGGTCAAGGATTTTGAATTGGCATCAAACCAACCTGCGCCGGCTGTCAGCAAAACGCCACAGCTGCAACATGCTCCGACAATCTCCCACCCGAAATTCTTCCTACCCCCCCCGGCCCCTCGGACTCCGGGCTTCTTGACTTGCGCAACGAGCTCCTCCTCGGTAGGCTGTGTGAGCATTTAACTTGTTGGCTATCGGTTTGGCATCGCTGCTGAACATGCTGGTTTCTGAAACTGTGGCTACGTGTGGCAACCTGCACGATCACGGCAATTCGGCTTCGACGCCTTCGAACGTGCTCAGATATCGCTGGTCAAGTTGGACAGTCGATCTCGGCAGAGCTTCGCGAAGCGCCAACATAAGGCAAGTGCAGCTACAACTCGGCACGTGTTGCCGTCACACGGACACAGCCCTAACACTAACGCTCCATTAACTCAGAGAGTTTGTTGTATACCCTCTGATACACTTAGGTGGTGCATGCGTGTGAAACAGACCTCGAAACACCTCATCAAACACGGCTGTCATAACAGATAACAGCCAGGATTGTCAGTCTGCACGTTGACACAACATGCGAGTGCTTGGAAGTTCGATGTGTCCTTTCCAGACGTAAGCGCAAGCGGAGATGGCGTCGGAGATGACATCATGGGCGGCGGCACTGCCGTCTGATTCCAGCCTCCTGGCGGCGAGGAGCCAACTGGGGAAAGGCTACTGATTTTCGGGGGGTCAGAACCTAAGGCCAATCACTGGGACATTGGCAAAGTTACACCCTTTCGTGTCATGCTTCCCGAGGCCAAACACAACAACAAGAGCTCCTCCCGGCATGTTTCCCATAGAGTAGGGCACGTTGCCGGGCACGTTGCCGGGAACGTTCTTGTCGAAGTCTTCTTGACACGACCTCAGATATGTTTCAATTCCCGCAATGCAGGCTACACAGGGGTTCCATGATCAAGCACTCCCAATGGCTCCGCCAGTCTCACCACTGTCGCTACACAAGATGCCAGATCACAACAGCGTTGTATGATACACTCATGACTCTTCCATTGTGTCACCCAGGGCATCCAGCCGGAACAGCTCTATGTAACGCCCGAGGATCTCCTGAAGCGACTTTTCTGGCTTGGGGCAGGGACAAGCCCGAATGAGACGTACTTTCACACTGCAAATCATGCCTGGTACCCTAGACTGGACAACATGTCCCACAAAATCTCGAGCCACTCTCAAAGCCCGCCCCCACGAGGCCTGGCGTTGCTTCGTTTGAAGGGCCGACTCGGCTTCTTCCACACCTCAGTCGAACTTGAGTTGCGAGGCCGGGGGACGAAAGCTCTTTGCGCCTAGGCTGGTGCGACGGGAAGGGAAACAGAGCTGGCCAGGCGGGCTCCAAGCATCAACAAATCCAAGCACACCAGCGACAGAAGGAAAGCAGAGATTGCGAGGCAGGCTCCAGGTAGCCCACAGGCAACCACCGCATCAGCGCGGGGAAACAGAGCTACAACTGCATCAGCCACTCAGCAACTGAGAGAGCGGGCGTGGCCAGGGGGGTGGACAACAAATCAATCGGTTTCGCCCGGCAGCCAGGCACCGGTGCCAATTCGGATAAAAACGAAAGTGACCTGCAGTCCCGCGAACCTCACATGCTTTGAGTACATCCCGCACTGCGTTGAATTTTAGTTGCGCTGGGCTGATGTCTATGCTGTCGACTTCTGAGCCTTCCCGGAGCTCTCGGTTGTTTACCAAGCCTGCTCTCCTCGCAACAAGTTCCCGACCCAAACCCCCTGCCTTTTCTATCGCTAACGTTTGACCAACCAGCGAGTGGTGCCCCATGCGCCGTGATCCTGCAAGTGTAGCGACTGGCTTGATTCTGTTTCGAGAACATGAAGCACGGCGAGACCACATATCCATTCACCCCCCCCCCCCCCCCCCCCCGCCACTCTAGTTTCGAGTCGACGCTGTGTGACGGTGGCAAAGCAGAGTCCACACGTACCAGCCGAGGCTGCCGCTTCCGAACTGCACGTAAGCCTCTCCTGTTGGACGGCCTTGGTGACAAGCAGTTCTAGACAAGTCTATGTGCAACAGCCCAGACGCCCTTCAGGATCCAGCCGCCGACACCTTGTGCCATCGTCACACGTGACCTCAATCGGCTCTGCAGAGATCTTCACTCGAGCACTCAACGTTCGAACTACTCCCTGTACTGATGGGAACCACTGAGAGCCAGACCTGTCGATGCCAAAGTCTGCTAAAAATTGAACTACATGATCCACGTTTGCCTGGAAGGGGACCTTACAAGGACCAGCAACTTCGTTTGACTGTAGGCCATGCAAGGATCCTGTCGCTCAGCGTATACTAGCATATACTATCGTTACGAGGTCACTTCGCCTGAGATCTGCGCCCCTCTTAGTCGCAGAACATGCGACAGCTGAACTCGGCAGGGTGGCGAGCAGCGCAGGAGGTTTCAGCTCTGAGCATGTATACACAGGATGCTTCTTTCGGAACACCTCCTTGGCCACCTCAGACTCTGAGACCTGTGCTAACCTTCTGCGCGGCTTGCTCGGGGGCTTGACCGCTCTCATACGCCTCGGTCGGAGCACTTAAAACAAAACTCCCCTCGCAGAGTGGGACCGCTACCTCGATGAAAGCCTTCAGGGACCTGGGGTGCAGTCGCAGGCTCTCAGAGCCCCCTCACAGCCCGAAGAAACCGGGATCGAGGCTCTGGGGTGTGTCTTGCAGGATCGTGATTGCCGGTACGCGTGCTCTCGCAGTATCGGTACCAGGCATCCTGGCAAGCGTTGACGAGCTTCTACCCGCTCGAGGAGCCTACAATTGGCAGACCTTTGCTTCCTGCCCGCTGCGCTGGATCTGCTTGATTTTCATCACCAAATAGTCCTCCATGCCCATCTCTGGGCTAGGATCAACCAGTACTGGAGAAGACACTACTATGACAGCTGTACTGCAAACTGCCTTGCCCATGTCGGCAGTAGCTGGAGCAGCTGCTTTTAGGCCTCGCTGTCCAGCACGGTTGAAGTGATTGCGCGACTAGCAGAACTAGCCGCAGACAGTAGCAGTACGTAGCAGTGGCATTGTTCCGCAGTTGCATGTCTCCTGTGGTGGCTTTGCTGTCGCGGTTGCCGTTGTTTCTAGTGTTGTTTGTCATTTTCTGTTTGATCTGGGACTTGCTTTCTCGGACCATCTGGGGCTTTCCAAGGCGTCGCGGGAACGGAAGCGACAGCACACACAGGAGGCTTTTGTCCAAATGCAGGGAAAAGATTGTGATGCCCTGACCTCCGGCAATACTCGTGGTGTTTCCGTAGCTGCGACACGAACACCACTTCCATCAACCCAGCAGCAACTAGCACAGCCCCCCTGCCGACTCGAACGAGCTGAGAAACCCCAAAGCCACTCTCACCATCTCCTAGCATTGGTCCCATTGACTCGTGGCGGCGACGGCTTCGGCAGTTGAAGCTTGTGCAACTGGTTGGGCCGATGGTTGCTGTTACAATGCTGCCAGTAATTGAGGCGCAGACTAGACATTCGCTGAAAGTCTTCCTGCGGCTTGGTGCAAGGGAAGATGCACAAATTCCTGTACTTCAGGGTTTAAAGGTTGTTTTGGTGATTTGCCTCCGTGGAGCGGAAGAGCTCGATGTAGCGACCTTGGATCTCCCCGTTCTGCAGGGAGTTCAGCGCATTCTCAGCCTCCTCCGTGCTGCGGAACATCACGTAGGCCTACAGCGGACCATTGCGCAACAGATGCATTCTCTCCAAGAGCCACAGCCTCGCCAGTGATGCGACCATCGGGACGGCGTCCGAAAACCTGTCAAGTTGCCGGCTGTTCCTTCCCGTGTCTTGCATCTCATCCGCTGTCACGAAGGCAACGACGATGATCTAAGGCACTGACGACATTTTCCTGAGGGATGCTGTACATAGACAAGAAGTCCACCACCTGCTGAGACAGGGCGAACAGCTTGGACCACCCAAACCATGGAGCACTTTGCCACAACCTGCCAACCTGCCCCGGCAGAACTTGCAGAGCAGAACCCCCGCCCGGCCCGAAATCAAGCACCTAGGCCTGGGTATTGGCATCAAAGGCTGCCTAAACCGACACGGAGCGTGGCCTCATGGAGCTCGGCCTGAAACGGCACACCTGGCCACGGAGCGCTCGTGGATGTGAAACTGTCTGAAAGACCAACCATCACTCTCACTCCCTCTCTGTCTGCGCTTGTGTCTGTGTCTGCGGCTCTGCCTCTGTCTCTCCGTGTCTCTCGTTGCCACTTGTCTTTGTGGATTTATTGTTGGTTTGTGGGTAGAAACTAGGATGCATCACACGCTGTGGACATGGAGAAGGCCAGAAGATGAGCTCACGATTGCACGGCCACTCTCTCTAACTTGCCTCTTGGATCCTCTTGGCACGGCACTAACTGCTGCACTACGGCATGGTTCTTTGCACGTCTGTGGCAACATTGGAAACTTTGATATGCAAAGACACCCACCTCGTAGACGAATGAAGCGGGTGCTTCCCAGCTGAGACACTATTTGCTCCGGCGCCTGCGTAGCTCATGCTCATGTCTGTTGCGCTTGGCATTTGACCTCACCCTGACCTCACTATCACTATATCACTTACATGAACGTGCACGACACGAGCCGATATCATGAGGAGCGGAGCTCGTCTTAGAGAAGCATCCGAGGCAGAAGCAGTGCAGCAGGGCCGCGCCTTGCCCGCTTGCCTGGCCTCGAGGAAGCTCCGGAGATGCTCCTCGGGGTGGCGGCCTCAGGGCTTGCACCGCTCCCACCGGAGCTCCCACCCATCTAAAAAACTGAGCGCAGCACTGGGATCTCTGCTGCCCATCCGTGTAGCATCCGCAAACCTTCAGGAAGTCTCGGTTGCTGCTGCTTTAGAGAACTTTAGAAAGATGCAGCTCCTGACTAGGGCGACTGCCGCTCCCACTGCTCCTTCCCTGCCGGGTCGCTGCCTTAGCCGAACTTCGGCCGCTCTTTGCAGGCTGGAAGGCTTTTTTTCGCATCTCCAGGTCAGAACCTACAGGGCCAAGGGTTTTGGACTCGTGGTCGGCAGCTGAGCACTTGAGCGACCCACGCTGGATATCTTTGATCGAGCGAACTAACCTTGGACCAAGAAAGGCCGCCGCGCACCAGAAGCCTTTGCCTCGACGCTTCGGGCTTAGGCCAGGGCCTATCTTTCTCTGTTTCCACATACCCAGCTCCATCCTGCACAGACTCACTGCCTGCGAAGTAGGCTTGTAATCTTTTGTAGGCTGATTCCGGCTGATTCCGTCACATTGACCAGCGTCCTGCCAGGCAGGTCCTGCTGCTCCTTAGCACTCGCGCGAACACGCAAAGAGCGTGAAACAAGCCACATCGGTAAGTTCGCGCGGCTGTTGCAAGTAGGGCTCAGACCGCCAGTCGAGTACGGACCATATCTGAACAAACCCAGCAATTATTCCGTCAAGAACATGTTCCCAGCTTGCCATGCGAACCACTCCAGCCTTTCACTTTGTTGCGCGGCCGGGCCATAGCCACCATAGCCCCCATAAATATCACCGCCGTAGCCACCACCAGCACCGTAGCCGGGCTGGGTGAAAACGGAACTGCCACCATCCGCTCCATAACCACCGGCACCACCACCATAGCCCGCGCCGAAGCCGCCATAGCCGCCATAGCCGTAACCTGAAGAGCGGAATCTGCGTGAGTCGGGGGCGTGAGTCGGAGATTTTGGGAAGGACCGGGCCTTTGCCTCCTGGCCGGCCCATGGGGCCCATGGAGCCCATGTAGCCCTTGCCTGAGCTCTGGGCCCACGGGCCTGTCGGCACACTGCGGGGCGCACTTGAAACGAACGAAAAGTGCTGATGTGGCCCCGGCCCTTCATAGCATCCGGCTGCTTCGCGATCTAAATAAAAAACCTACTTTCGCTTGCAAGTCTATGGGGGCTAGACTGCGGGGTTGGCGCAGGCTTCGGGGTGTGACGCTCAAGAAGATTTCAAGTCATGCTGTGGGGGCCGGTGCAATGCCACAGCGTGTCGTGTGGATCAGGGCTCGACACCAGCTTCTTCAATTCATGCTGTATGTTCGTGGTCGTCATACTCTACACGAATGGCCACCGAGCAAAGTGCATGCAGAGCTTCAAGCTGCAAACAGGTTCTTCGCCAATGCCTGCTTGACCATCTTCAACACATGTGACGACAACACGTATATTCTTGCGGAGGCGCCTGATCATCAGGATTCTCGGCCTTGGGGAAGCGTAGCTGTTCTTAGCTGCTTCAGCCCGGAATCCAAGGCAGAGGCCTGTTCATGCGCCCGCTCCCATGTGTCTACTTCGCGTGACCTCTCAGCCCCTGCTGATCACCTCCAAAGTCTAGAATCTAGACTTGCACTTCGTGCCCGGCAAATGCCACATCGATGGCCGTGCCTGGGCGGTGCTCACAGATATACCGGTATACAGCTGGCATTGACCGTTTCCATTTTCATTTGGCACCACCCGATACCCCCCCCCCACGTCCAAACACCAATTTTTCAATCATGTTTACATATCATTTTCTCAATGCGCATACCATTTTAAGTAAAAATGCTTGAAATCTTCCTAGGAAAATTCAATCAGCATACCATCGTAAATTTTTCAATTGTTCAAAGGTCCACGCCATTTTGACCAAATCTAAAGCACTAGCCACTTTCACCAAAAACGTTAATTTCGCATTTCTACAAAGCATACCAAAAGCATTTTTTCACCTCAAAAAACACGAATTTTGCACTATATGTTGATACTCGTTTGTTTCACGTGTTAAACCAGTCAATACGTTTCTAACATTTTTGCCATTTTTGAAAGCACCTAAACACTTCAACTCCCATCCCACCAAAATCCCCCACCCAAAACCCACATGATGAACACCATTAGAAGAACCACCCCGAACCCAATGGAAAACCACAAGCTCAACTCCACACCACCACTCACCCGATAGAAAAACCGATAACCCGCGAAAATAGAAATGCTCTTCTCTAATAATGTATTCATAGTAGGATTTAGGGTTGATGCAAAGGTTGTAACTACAATATACGTATAACCCGTAAAATTGTATGGATTATAACCACGTCCAAGAGTTTCTAGTTAGCCTCAGGGGTGGCCACCCGTGATAATTTCCAGATAGGGTTCCAATACGATTTGGATACGATCTGAGGATAGGATCGGTCTATCGGGCTATGGCATCGATACGGTTCAGATAGAGGAACCGATAGGGTTTGGATACGTTTTGGATAGGGGTTCCAATACGAGTTCCAATAGAGGTTCCAATACGGGTCCCAATAGCGGGTTGAATACGGGTTTGGATAGGGGTCTGGATACGATTTGGATACGATTCCCTTCTTGCCTGGGGGGGGCGCTTGTCTCAGAGCTCGGAAAATGGGGTTTGAGTGGGGGCTTGGATGGGGGGGACCCTTGTCTCAGAGCTCCGGAAGCCGATTTTGGGTTACTTTAGGAAAATAGGGGTTTGAATAGGGGTTTGGATACGATTCCCCTTCCGCCTCGGGGGGGCCCCTTGTCTCAGCAAATTTGGGCTCCTTTCCAAAGAAAAATGGGGGTTTGGATACGATTTGGATACGATTCCCTCCCGGTGAAGGGACCCTTGTCTCAATTTTGGGCTGCTTTCCAAGTAAAATAGGGGTTTGAATAGGGGTTTGGATAGGGGTTTGGATACGATTTGGATACGATTCCCCCCTTGTCTCAGAGCTCCGGAAGCCGATTTTGGGTTACTTTCCAAGGAAAATAGGGGTTTGGATACGATTCCCTCCCGCCTGGGGGTGCCCCTGTCTCAGAGCTGCGGAAGCCGATTTTGGGCTCCTTTGCAAGGAAAAACAGGGGTTTGAATAGGGGTTTGAATAGGGGTCTGGACAGGGGTTTGGATACGATTTGGATACGATTCCCCTTCTGCCTGGGGGAGCCCCTTGTCTCAGAGCTCCGGAGGACGAATTTGGGCTCCTTTCCAAGGAAAAATTAGGGGTTTGAATAGGGGTTTGGATACGATTTGGATACGCTTCCCCTCCCGCCTTTGCACTCTCGGATGCGAGTGCCGAAAGGCGTTTGGCCCCAGAATCGTGTTGGAAACCGTATTCGAAACCATATTGGAACCCGTATTGAAATCGTATTGAATTCGTATTGCTTCTGGACGAGAGCGTATCGCCCCCCGTATCGAAATCGTATCAGAACCGTATCTCCCGAAATGCGGAATACGGCAATCCTATCACTGAATCGTATCGGTACCCCTATCCGAACCCTAAACCAAAAATAATCCTCGATCGGGCCCTCAGGCTGAACTAGAAACTCTTGGAACTACGCATATTGTGTATCCAATACTTTCTTTAATTCTGATGAATTTTGAAACATAGCACGCCCCCAACTAATAACTTTCGCCAACAATACTACCAATGCTATTAAAAGTTAGGTTATTAGTGACTGCTCGGCTTAATGTTATTCCGTCAGTGTCATTTAATTGTAATGCTATTGATCCCGGTTGTCAGGTCAGTTGTTCTATCAAGGTGTAATGAAAAATTTATCTCTTCAGTTGACATAATATTTAAGGATTGCGTCGGGGGCTTTGGGTTGGGGGTTGAGGGTTACATGATTTTCCAAGATGGTTCTCTTGGGTTGGGGCTTTGGGCTGGGGATTGAGGGTTACATGATTTTCCAAGATGGTTCTCTTGGGTTGGGGCTTTGGGTTGGGGGTTGAACCTTCACAATTGTGTTCTGCTTTGAAGGCATCTCTCGTAGACACCGTCTACATTGGGTATCGAGGAACCTCGTGCTGTGCCCTGGGGCACTGGGAAGAAGAATCTCTGTCGACCGAGATGATCATTGATGAAGAATTCAGAAGCCAACAGCTCTCAAAGTTCCGAAGAATGCACGCTTTCATTCCGGGCCCGCAGGCGTGATGCGGTGCTGTTGAAGCGCCGGTGCATCCGGCATGCCTGAAGACAGGGTGCCCACACAGCAATCCACAGAAGGTGTCGATAAATCCAGGGGCACACATGCCTGTTGCGAACTGAAGGTTCCGATGGCTGACACGTGGCACGGGTCATCACGGGTCCCCGGTTCGGGCTCGACACTTCGTCTGGGCACCGAGTGCTGCGCATCACTGCCGCAGGCAGTTGACGGTATGATCAAGTTGCCACTGCCTTCTGCTCAACTGTGCTCTGTCCAAAGGTCATCCCTACTCTAATCACAAGCTGGCCTGTGTCGAACACAACCTCGAACTCTTGAGGAGGTGTCCTGCCACAATCTGATCAGGACATGTCGCTGTGTCCTCCTGGCTCTAAAGCCATGACGACACAAAGTGCCCACCGGGGCAAAAGCCGAGGCCCTCGAACCGGTCCCGACACGCAGGATGCCGTAGTACTCGCTGGCTTGGGAGCCCTCGGCCCAAAGGCGAAGAGGTCGCAACTGTGAGCACAGACTCACACTGCAGACTCACTAAAGAACTAAAAGGGACAAGCCTCCGACTCTACAGACTCTACAGAAAACAGCCGCTGTTGGCAACCTGTGGAGAAGCTCGGAGTCGCAGTCTGCTTGCCGGCCGAGCCACGGAGGAGCGGGTGTCCTCCCTCTTTGCCACTCGCTTCTGCAGCCTTCACCAGGGCTTCGGAAAGTGGTTGCGGCTTCGAGGCTTCATGCTGTCTGCTTCAGGTCCTTTCCTCGCACTGCTGCGAAGGCTTCTCTGCTGCGAGAAGCTGATGGCCTGATCAGAGCTCGCAAAGGCTCAGAGCTGCGGAACATCTTCAAAGTGCCGCTGAAGGACAGCTGGAGCCTTTTCTAAACGCATTTGTCAGTGCTCGAGAGCTACAAAGCTCAGTCATCTGACGGCCTCCAGTCGACTGGGACGGCGGGCGGGGGGGGGCCTTACGGGGAAGGTCTTGTCCTTTTTGCCAGTTTCCACATGTTCGAGCATCATGACTGATACAGAACCGCTCCGGCGACGTTAGCAACATGCCATCCTGCTGTCCTTCCGCCCCTTGCCCAAGACGTGTTTTGTACAGACACTCATCCCAGCCCGAGCATGCTCAAACCCCGCAAGAAAATGTTGTTATATCTCCTGAAGACTCAATCCTTATCGCCATCGAATATCGTCGGCCTGTTGCCCTTCAAGAACTGGTTGTAGATGGCCTGGCAGGGCTTGCACACAGCCTGCCCCCCTTCACTCCCAATGTGCAATGCGAGGCCTCTCTTTGCCGACAATACGTGTCCTCGTCTACGCCATCCTGACACGGAAGGACAAGGACTCTATGAGTCTAGGCTGCAAATTTCGACCCATGGTGCAGGAAGCACCTTGTGCCATTACACCTTCATGTCTCGACGACAACCGGCGTCGGTCCTTCCGAGCGGCTTCTTCCTGAGCGGAAAGTACGTCCTTGGAATCGCTCGCATCAAGTTCATAGAAGTGAAGGCACTTGGGCTTCGAATTTGCAGAAGAGGCTCAACGAGAGATGAACCTGCGGCAAGCTTAGAGGTCCTACTACGATCCGGTGGATTTGTGAGCTTGAGAACGCTCACTCAGGCAAAATTAGGGCATATGAAAAGCTACTCTCAAGGTGATCAACTTGAGCGGCGGTGAAGGATTTTGGGCACATGCTCTGCAAGCCCAACCAGCGCATTGTCCAATGTTTGAATCGAAGAGTGCCGCTGTTTAAGCCCAGCCAAGCCCTAACTCCATCGACAGGACGGCTCTCCACCCTCCAAGGCCTGCCGCGTCGCTGGTCGAGGGCATGAGTCTCGCTTTGGAGCTCTCCTGACTGCCACTCGATCTGAAAGTCTGATGCTTCGGCGGCTTTGGGAAGGTGCGTCCCTGGTGGTTCCCTTTTTCTCTTCGCTGCTCGCTGCTCACTGCCAGGCGAGGCCGCGGCATGCTTGCCACCTGAGGCTCCAAGGCAGCTGCAGCACTCAGTGACACTCGGATGCTGTCAGCATGCAAAAAGCGAGCCCGGCAACCCGCTGGCCCAGACCGCTCAGCAGCGCAGCATACGGAGAGCACTTTTGTGGGTCCTCAAAAAATCGAACGGCAGACGGCAGCCCGTTGATTCCGGTCTTCCTCTCCCTCCCACCTCCTCTTGCGAGAAGTAATCGAACCAGCAGCGCAACTCGCCCCCTCGGCGCTGCAGGTTCATGATCCCGGCAGCATCGTGCTCCAGCCGCCCTGCCACGGGGCACGGAGTCAGCACTTGCCTTGATGGAGCTCATTGTTTTGAGGCCTTGGAGGTACCGGTAGAGGCTGAGGTCCTTAAAGCTATGTCACAGACCCACTCAGGTTCAAGGGCATTTCTCCAAAAAGCTGAGTACTGGGCCGCCTCTTCCATCGGCCAATGAATGCTGAATTCGGACCAGTTCACGACGTGGTCGAAGGGTAGACCTTTTCTATATGTGTGGATTCAACCATGCCGCGCAACGCGGAGATCGCATTTCGAACGGCTAGATCTGCTGCCGGGAGGCGCAAGTGGTCTGAAAGGATGACTGGAATGCAGCCAGCGAAGAGTGCCTCGAAGAGGCGTGAGGTGTAAGAGCTGGCTCCTTCGAACAGAGGACTGCCGATTTCCCACAGAGGAAACGTCTCAAGCCCTAGAAGGCATGAGAAGAGGTTCCTTTGGGGCACAAGCAGAACTTGGAGTTGCCCATGAGGTCCGCGTAGCCGGAGACAGGGGAGCCAATAGACACATCCGGGAGATGACCTGGAGACGGAATGTGGGTGGGTTCTTTTGAAGTTTGAAGGGGCCTCCTCTCCAACACTCAAAATCCTGACGAGAAGCTCAAGTTGTGGATCAGTGCGGTGCGCACCGTCTCGTTGGTGACCAAATAGGCCTTGCGCACCTCTGGAAGGCCGGACTCCGCATGCTGGCCCCTCCAAGTCCTGAGGACACGCTTTCCGAGGTTCATGGTTGAGCCAAATGGCTCACTGCACTTATCACCGTTCTAAGCTCAGGTCATGAGGAACTTGCGCCGAAAGAAGGGCCTGGACTTCGCCATCAGGCTGCCTAGGTCTGCACATTCGTTGAATCGTCCTTCACATCTTTCCTTTCCGACCAAGCCACGAGCACCGGTGAGCGGTGTCAGCGGAGGCACCACCAGGTCTTTCCAGGGCTGGAAACAGTCCTTGCAGTGCCAGCCTCGGCTCTTCCAAAGTGCCGGGACTTGCGAACAAAAACATCACGCAAGCCCTCTGCAGCACGTTTTCGCGACATCCCTCGAGCTCTGTGACTGGGTGAAAATTTTCTCAAAAGTAAAGAGTCAATGTCCATGATCCATACTACGCAGATCAAGCCGACGCCTCAGAGGTTGGACTTGAAGAAGTCTACCATGTGCTTCCTCGGTTGGCTTCAGCCCCGACCGAGGACATACAGCATGCTTTGCCGGCATGGCGAATTCTTCAGCATTGCAAAACTGTGCTTTCCTGTAAAGGAGCAACTCCCTCTAACACCACCTCAAACTCTACAAATGGCCCCTTCGCTGGCCGGAAGCTTGGGACGACCCAGACTTCACCATGTCCTAGAATATTTGCGCCCCAAGGGTGGGGAACGAAAGCTCACAAACCGGGAGCTGTGCGGAGGCGGACGAGGACGGAGATGAGCGATACTCCTTTTTCACTTGTTGCCAGTTGCGTCTGTTCTCCGATCTGAGGTCCTGAAAGTGCTGTGGCTTTCTACCCTCTGAACAGCACCTGCTGGCGCATGACCCCCCCCCCCGGCACCAGGCATCACAAGCATGATCGGGGTCCCGCTTCTCCAAAAAGACGTCTCTCCTGGATCCCGCGTGCAGCTCCAACAAAGAGCCCGCGGGGCCCACGCCTGAAACACCTCATGGCCTGGGGGTTGGCTCGAAAACGGAGGGCGTTTTGGGACAGTTTCTGGCTGGTCCCCCCCCACACCCCTATAGCTGGTCAGCAAGGCTGGGTCTGAAACGACAACTCTTCCCTCCACGGAGGGAGCTTTCGTAACATTCCATGGGGACCATGCTGTGATAATGATGTACAAGTAGCTTCCCGTCGTGCTAGCTCATGCACATTGCAGACAATCTGAAGCTCCGTGCAGCTATGTGTGTCTCATAAGTCGAGCAGAGCAACATCGCTGCCTCCACATCCCGCTTCACCTCCGCTTGACCGAGGTCGCCACGGCAGCACCAGCCGTGCTGCATGTCCTGCACGGAGTCTTGCACTTCTCCGTGCATTAGGCATCTCTTTCAGAGCTGCACTGCCAGTCCGGGAATGTCACGGACTTTCCACCCTGGCGACACGGCTGTCGTCTCATGACTTTGACGCGCAAAGGACTTAAGTGGCAGACCTTCTTGGCCAGGGACTCGGCGATCGCGCCGCCCTCCTGTCGTTTAAAATCACGCATGTGGGCCGAAAGGCACGCGCCCTCGGCAAGCAGAAGCACAGCTGCCGCAGAGGCTGGCCGCACAAGCTTGCTCTCCGGTCTGTTCTTCGGTGCAGACAAGTTCTTTGCTGACTCTTCATGCGAGTCCTTGAGGTTCTCAGGGTCGTTGCCAGCTGGCATGATGAGCACCTTTGGAGAGTAAAAGCCCTTCCATGTCACGGCCCTTCAACGGACTGCAGCTCAATATTCGACCTGTATCTGTCATGAGTGAAGTCTGGGTTCCAGCAAATCTAGCCAAATCTTCTCAACACAGCACATATTTGATTCGACCCGGTTCATACTTCAGCTAAGGATGGGCACTGGCATGTTGACCTTGTCCATCATTGCCTGTTCATCTCCGCCGAACGCCCCTTCCAGTCGTGTGCTTGGATGAGGTCCGACGCCACCTGGGATCACAGCAGCGATGTCATGTGTCGCCTAGAATGATCTGGCAGAATTCCAGTCCATATATTCGATCAAAGAGCTGCTGATTACTTCACTTGCAAGCAACACTTCAGGGGCACACCCATGGAGGCAGACTTACAAAATGCCCAGACGCCCCAGCAAAAGCCAACTGCACCCACACTGCTGCAGCCTTGATCTTGTAGGTGCTTTACACATGCCTCGATGTCGGCACCAATTTTCTTTTCAAAAGGAAACTGTGTAATCCAGCCCATGATATCCTCCTTCCCCACGGCAGAGTCTCCGTAGAAGGGGTCTGAAAGCAGCACTCGGTACCCCTGATCGGCGAGGGTGTCTGCGATGCCCATAAGCCTACCCTGGTTGGAGGACCAGCCGAAGATGTCGGGCAGTACCAAGATGGCCTTGTCTCCGGTGCCCACGCTGTACACTGGCAGCTCGCCTATCTTTGTCTCTGTGCCCTTGGGCTTGTAGTCATCCGGCTTCTGGCAAGCTGGCCAGGAATCTGGGGGGCAGCAACCTGCCATCGTTTCACGAGAGACTGGAGGCAGGAGACAGGAGACTGTAAAGTCTGGCTGGAGCCAAAACTACAGCAGCACAAGCCATTCAGTCGAAAACATGCAACTCGGAAATCGCGTTGTCTCGAGGCACAGGCATAAACTGTCGTCCCACGGGATGTCGTTACACTCGATGGGCTCGGACTCCACGACAAGCAGGATCGACCGCGGGAATAGGTCGCGCCACCTACCATAGAGTACCCGAGAAAGATCCGTTTGCTTCAGGAGGCTTAGCGGCAGCACAAGAATGCCAAGCATTCTTGCCGTTATCACCCAAGCACAACAAGGACCTGCCTATGCAGCTGCCATACGGAGGAACCGAAGAGAAACACGTGGTCCAGCCCCTCCTTCCTGGAGTGATGCAGGCTTACCGCAGTGTACCTCCTTTCGGAAATTCCCAGAGTACAAGTGAGCAGCAGTGGGTACATTAGGGAGGTTATCGGCGCCTCTGAAAGTACGGCAGACTCGAGATGCGATCATGCATCTCCTCCAGTGCCATGAGCCTCGGTCTCACCCAAAAGCGAATCCAAACACCATCCCATGCTGAAAGCCGAGGAACTTCGCTCCCTTCGTGAGATGCTTGCCAACCTGCAGCTCCCAGCAGGTGAGGTACAGAGGGATGAAGAACCTGACACGGCACACGGCTGCACCAACAAACCTCGAGAACAGGATGTGCTGCGAATTTCTCATGTAGATGCTGAACGGGGCACAAGTCTGCGGCCTCTGCATCCTGGGTGCGGCAGCCAGCATGTCTCAAGAAGCGGTCGACGTAGACCTCCGAGCCCCAGAAGCCAATCCGCGCACAGGAGATCGGCCTGTCCGCCAGGTCACCCATGTCGTAGACATAAACCCGTGGAGCATCCGGAGGGCACCAGCCATGGAACCGCCCCTCTAAGCCCATCACCAGGTTATAGTGATCAAACATGTCGTGGTTGATCATCTGCAGCCAGCGGCAGTCTTCCAGGCCACTTGCTCGCTGCAGCAGGCGATGTGCATAACTGCTCGCTTTTCTCGCAGCATCACTACCTGCCGCTTTCTCAATTCCTGCCAAGCTGTGGAGAATGACTGCTGCAAAACCAAATATGCAGTCTTCCTCACTGGCATGCCTTGCCTGCATGCTTTCGTTGGCTTTGTGCAACAGTGCAGTTATGTTTGGCCAACCAAGGAATGAGGTTCCCAGTGCCTGTGACAGCTGGTGTGCCCAGAAGAATCCAGCCCATTCATCGGCAGTGACCCAATGGGTTCCACGACACTGCAGCTGCCGCGGCAGGCTTGGCACGTCTTCTTTGCGATGGCAGTCTTGTGGTAACTGAGAATCACTACCATCATTCAGACAGCAAACCTCGTATGTGTACAGAGAGTCGAAGCAGTCAGGCCGTGGCGGATTGCAGCAGCTGTCGTAAGAGAAGCCGACTCGCCAACATGCTTCGTTGCCCTGTGCGCTGGCAAAGCTGAAAGCAAGTCCAGAAACCAACTGATGCACCGCCCCTGCCGCCCCTGGCATCCTTTGGTAGCAAGGCCTCAGGGACCCATCAAATTCACGGTGGCATGAAGATAAAGCGGCACTGCAAGTATCATGCACTGTCTCTAGACGTCGGAATTGAGCCCTGCTGCGGCGACTTCGACAGTAGGAAAACACATCAATGAACAACAGCTGCAGAGTCCTTGACACTACACTCGATCCCGTCGTCCGTGTTCTCCTTCAGCACAGCAATACACAGCACCAGTTGGCTCATGTGGTGCGGTGATTCTCTCAGACTCTTGTTCTCGCTACGATCGTGAAGTGCCAGTTTGGCGAGATGCCTCAGGCTTTTCACCGCCATGGCTCGCTGCAGATCGCGCATCTGCAAGACCTTTCCTGAGTGGAAACAAGGCAGGTCCAGACCCAGACAAGAACCTGCCAATTCGGAAGAGCTGCTCCAATGCCTTCTGTGCCCAGCCACGATCCTGACGGTCCAGAACCTCAAGCTCAAGCAAGCTTGGGTTCGCACCACTCAGAACCGCTGAGGTAGAAGATGACAACACTGCCCGCTGACTGCCGCTGACTGCCACTGCCCGACTGCCCGGCCCCGCCTTCGGCCCCGCCCGGCCCTGCCTTCTGCTGACGCTTGAGCTTTGCCAATTCTTTCTCCACGTCCGCTGCGATGGAATCGTCGAGATCTCGCGCTTTCAAGAGGTCCTGACGCAAAGCTAAAGTGTTGAATCTCTCAACGACATGACTCAGTGACTAAACCCGACGCAACATCAAACCACGAAATTCACTCCTTCTTGGCCTCTTCCAGGTTTCCCAGCTGCACTTGGCACCTCAGAGACCGCAAGCCCTACCTCCACCACTCCAACCCACAGGCGAGCGAGAACGAGACGACGACACAGGGACACAGAGAAAAGAGAGAGCGGGAGAAATCGAGAGATCGCGAGAGCGGGGAAGCGAGCGAGTGAGGATTGAGAACAACCACAGCATGAGAAGCCCGCTGTCCCCGTCGAAACAGCGCCTTGACCTGCAGCCACTACTCCGACATGGTACAGAGCGTTGTTTTTTTGTGCTGCTTGTACTGCTCCATAAGACGGAGACGCAGCAGCCGTCGATATCCAGGATCACTTCAGCACACTTCCGCTCCGCTTCCTGCCAGCAGCTCCTGGCAAAGTCGCGACCAAACCGTCTCGCCTCTTATAACCCTCCCTCAATGCAGAAAGCTGAAGCTCCTCTTCATGAGGACCAGTGCCCAATTCAGAAGGATCGGCTTCTGGCCTCTCTCTAAACTCTAAACATTCAGGAGACACACATTCAGTCCTGTTTCTGCTGTAAGGCTTCGACACTCGCGAATCCTCTTGTTGTTGGCGACCGCCTTTTCGTCCTTCTTGCCGCCTGCCACCCCACCACCGTGGCGGCTAAGCACCACATCTCATCATCATACGCTTGCCCTGCCTCCCATGCCCGCCATGTTGCCCATTCCGCCCATTCCGTCCATGCCACCCATTCCACCCATTCCACCCATGCTTCCCATGTCTTCGGCTTCGATGACATCCATCAGCGAGGATCCCCTCTCGTAGCAGTCCGCCGCTCGCTGCAGGCGTCCTCACAAGCAACTGCCGGCAAGACATCTGAACACGTGCAGCATGCAAACCTCTCTTCAGCATCGCATTGCCGCGCTCACCTTGGATGCACAGCTGAGTGCTGTCTAGTGCACAATACGGGGGAACATCACCCTGAGGTCTTGCAAGCAGGACGCGCAACCGACTTGCCATGTCAATCCGCTCGTCCACCGACATGCGGAACCTCGGTGTTGAGTCGGTGTTGCTATCACTTCTAACAAATTCCTGTGCTTGCTTGGGGCATGGTGCAGCTGAGTGCAGGTCTACCATTTCACCAGGCCAGATTAGGACTGGGAATCTCATGAGAGCCTGAGAACTCCGGCGAGGAGCTTGTCGTGCTGATTGCCCCGCACAGTCGCGATCTCGAATCTCCAACGGCCTCAGGACTTCAAGCTCGAAATCGAACAGGCCCGACAGTGCGGGAATGGTACTGGTAAAAGATGCAAAAGCCGATCAAGACCCGCGGCGCTCCAGGTCGCCACCGTCGGAAGGGGCACTCTCCTCATCCGCAAGGGCATGCTCCCCGATGCCCACCTCATCATGGAGCTGCAGACCGTGTGTCTGAGAAAATGCAGTGACCCAGTGTAGGAATTGACGAGCAATCTGGCAAACGAGAATCGACGTCCACCACATCGCCGACTTGGACTCCTGAGCACGACCGGCAAAGGTCTAACGATCTGAGTGGTGAGGACCGGCTTGAGAGATCTTGAGGGGTGATTTCGTGCTGGAACCGCCGGGCGTCTCCGGGCAGTGATTTCCAGCGCCCACGGCAATGCAGCGGCACCAACCTCGACCTTGGCCAAACACTCCGAACCTCACTGAAGCGACGAGGAAAGGACCCAGTGATGGGGTCCTTGGCAGGGGCGGCGGCCTCGCTCAGAGGCTGCCCCTCAGCGGTGCGATAGGCAATGATGCAGCCATCGCCTCGCAAATTGAGACTTCCACCTTTTGCTGATTATCTGGCAAACTACATCGGCCTATGCGGGAGCCCTGAGCCGCCGCCCTGCAGTGAGTCATGGCCAGTCTAATATCGGCTGCACTAGGACACTGTCTCGCAGCCTTCTGCGCAGCGTGTTCCTCACGGCCCCATCGCAGAGGACCACCTCACTAGCGGCCTCCTCCTTGCACCTGCCATGGAAACTCCTATTCTGGCAAAAGCTTGCCGTCACAACGAAGTTATGCGGAGTGGGCAGAGGCTCACAAACACTTCCAAGCCGGACCTGGACTCCTCTGCATCCGCGTCCTTCCTGGCTGCCTCCTGCTTGGAGCCAGGAGCCTGTTCTGTGCTCGGCTCACTGCTGTCCAACCTCTCGCAGGCACCCGCACCCAGCGCACCTCCAATCCATCTCCATCGCTTTCTAGGAGACGCTCTAGGTCGGCATTGGACAGCATGTGCTCGAAATTATGTTTGCTTAACGGCTACTAAGGCTGGTCAAAGGTGGAGTGGAAAAGCACTGTTGCAAATCCTCCTATGAGGTATGAATCGGGCTTGGGGGGTAGTCGACAAAAGCTGTGCGCAGCACTACAGGTTTAGCTCGACGGTGCTTTTGACATCCTATGTCGTAGGCAGGCTCTGATGGAGTCGTGGAGGCTTGCCAGAAGTCCGGCCTGGCCTGCCGTCGCCTTCGCTTCAGGGGCACGGAGTAGGAGGCAGATCCTGGTAGAGACTAAGAGAACCGGCTCGGTGCTGGAATGTGACGTACCAGGCCTGTAGCTGGGTCCACATCAAGCTTCACGTCCTGCAACCCTGCCAAGCAGGAGGCTCTTTGCGCGAGTGTCCGGAAACATATCAGGGTTCTTCAATCTGAAGCACAGGCCTGGAAGATCTGCACTTAAAGATAGTGATTCCTGAAACTGATCGAACATCACTGAATCCTTCCTATGCCGTGCGCAACTGCGCCCAAACCATCATCTGAGGGCATGTCAGCCGTCAGCAGGCATGCTGCAAATGCGCTGAGAACACCAAGGCCTGCAAAGACTCACTAGTGCGAGAGGCCCTTGGTTCCGCTCGTTCGGAAGAGAGAAGGGGAAGGATCATTTTCATGTTTGCAGTCGCAGATCTACAAACACGTGCATCTTGCTGCAGAAAGGGTCTGCGCAGCGAAGACTCAGGCAGGACACCCCATGTGTCTACAGAGTCAAATCATCACCTCGACAAGAGGAAATGGCGGTTTCTGCAGGCAATCTGCAGAAATTGCATACATGCTTCCAATGCAACATAATGCAACACAGAAGGGCAGTCGGCCTTGTCGAGACACCCCGAGGCCCATCTACCTGAACTGCAAAATCATGCCATGAATCCTAAGGGACAGTTAATTCAAAAAGAAAGCCAGACGACGAGCATCGCACGTTCGATGGGCGAAGCTGCCCACGGATGGGGTGCGGGAGGCAAGTAGCACCGCATCCCTTCTGGTAAGCCAGGAGCAGGCCGATCAACTGCAAATCAACACTCCTGCCGGCAGAGATGCTCACTCCAAACACAGCCCAAAGGCCTTTTCTGCAGAGTCAGGAGGCACATCGAATCAGAGGTCCTAGTCCGCAGAACCTTCCTCGCTACACTTTTAACAAATTTCTTGGGATGTTCCGAATTCGTTCAGCTTGGGCTGGGGAAGGCTTGCGAGCACGTCCCGGCAAGGTAGCCGCGACGCCATAAATTTCGAATTGGTGCAACTTGGCAAAGGAATTCAGCACCTTGCAGACCTTGCAGCTAAGCACAAGGCTGCTCAGTCAGCAGTTCCAACTGAGCTTTGGAAGTTGACAATCGCTTGCGAGCAAAGGCCCGAAAAGACTGGGAGTGCGGTATGCGAAGAGTCCCTCCTACAATGCAGGGGCATCCTTTTTCTGGACAAACCTCTGATGGTGACACCACTACAGCAGTGAACGAGCCAGCTGGCGCCATTAGGCTCGGTTGAGATCTCGCAGCGGTGCCTTGCCCGACTTGTGACGACAACAAATGCAGTATGGGGCACTTTTCCTGTGCTCCTGTGGGCGCGGCTCGCTGGTCTCCGGGCTGTTTGGTCGGACTGCAGCGCACCTCCAGACTCAGAGCTCATGCAGGGGTCTTCCGGCAAATAAGCATGCGCCACACACACCTTCATCTCCAGCAACTTCTCCTCGGATTTCTGTGAAAGCAGTTCGCTAGCTCATGCTTTTGGTGTAGTATCACTAGTTGAGCTCACACACGCGAGTGTGCGAATAAGCGTGCAGGAAAATTGCTCGTTTCTGGGTGTTGAACTGCTGCACTGCAGGACTCTGGCACGCTCTGAAGGGCTACCGAAGGGCTATAGCCGGGCTGGCTCCGCAATCCGCATTCTCCCCACAAGTCTTGTACTTCTCCTGGCATGCAGGGCTCGGGGACGTCCCACAAAGTCTGGGCCCAGGCGACCTCGACCACCTCCGGCAAGATCGTTGCTGGATTGCCCACAACTGCCAGAAGCTCCGAGATGGCCTGCCGCTAGACTCCGCAACACACCGCTACACACTAACCGTCACCAGCCGCTGGAAGCCGAAGGAGGCCTTGTCGGCGTCCATGGCATTGGCCGCCTTTTGCTTGGCCTGTGCAGAAGGCATCTCCGATACGCCGATACGCAGGCAGCACATGCCGAACGTGGAGTGTCTGGCCTCGTCCCTGAGGTTGGCATCCTTACACTAAACCCCAACTGAACACTTGCTGTGCTTCGGGCACTGAAACACATTCCCGGTCCTTCCCATCCTCGTCAGGCACCTCCTCGTACACTGCATCTATGCCTCAAGACAGAGATCCGTTCAATGATTCGACTGCCGTCCGGCTGACACAAGTAGACCATACTCGTGGCACAGTTGCGACCTGTGACCTTGGAATGACACTGCATATCTGCTTTCAAGGCTCTCTTCACAGCTGTCACGACAGCCTGCCACAAATTCAAGCTGTCACCAGACTTGAACAACCGTGGTCACCCTCTCAACATCACCATATCTGAAGGCACGTACTTCAAGGCTGCCTCGCGACAGAGCTCCAGTTTCTTTTGCAGCACTCGCAGCTCCTCGTGCGCATACTCCAGGTCCTCACGAGCTGGGGTGCGGCCTTGGGTTCAACACCTTGGGACGCACTGCATTAAATGACCGGCCTGCTTGCTTGAACTCAGCTCTGCCTGGACCGTTGTCAACCTCGGCATTGCCACAGGCCTCTGCTTTCCCGTGGCTCAAGAAAGCCCATGCTTGGGGAGGCGCTCTTTCGCTGTCAGATCGCGGGCACGGCTCAGGCTGTCAAGATCCTGCCTGACCGAAACATGTGAAGCCCTACCACCTCTCTCGATGCCTGTCAGCGCAGTGTCACTGTGGTTGCGAGCCTTTTCTTAAGCTCTCGCTCTCGGAGCTGTATGTTGGCTTCCCGCAAACCTTATGCATCGAGCTCAACACGAACTGCCAATACAACAGGATTCTCGCAACATGCACCGGACATCCTCGCTCCTGAGCATTTCGCGTACGTGCTCCTCTCGCAGAGCTAGCAATGCCGCCCGCGCGCTTGCAGCAGACGGCTGGTCCTTGCTTTGTCGCCGGACGGAAAAATTGGCTGCTCCCGACTCAATCTCTTCGACAAGATCAGGCTCCCGACGAGCTTGTCCTGGCAGGGACGGGGAGGCCTTCCATGGAACCTCCTTTACACCACCTGGGACCGAGATGCCGAATCCCGAGACCGAAACCCGGCCTGCGGAGAACAGCTGCTGCAGTTGCTAATCGGAGAGCCTAGCACGTTCGCTTCGGGCAGCTCGTGCGATTCAAAAACAACTCTGCTCGCAAGGAACAACCCCACGACGACCTCGTGAGGAAGAGGGGGGAGGCGTCAGAAGCGCAGGCTCATCCTGGCACTTTGTGTTTTGTGCCAGTCTATGGCAATCAAAAGAGGCGATACGCCCCCCGCACTGCAAGGCCGAAGCATGCATCATGAGGAAGTCCTCCGCCGGCGCCTTGGCAGCAAACTCTCTGCCTACAGGTTTAGACCAACGAATCAACAACCCGAGCACGCGTGCTGGCGCCAGCTCACTCGCTTTCACGAAGCCACGGGGTACCACGGGGAGCCAGCCTGTGGGTGCAGCACAGTCTTGAATTGAAAACTGCCACCGTTCTTCCTGCCTGCTAATCCTGTATCTTCTAGGCCTGCCTACTTGCCAAGCACTGTACAGACCCACTTGGATTGCATTTAGGGTTTAGGGTTGAGGGCTCAAGGAGCATATCCTGCCACGTTGCCCTCCCGCACAGGCCTTCCACGGGCTCCTGGGGCCAGGGTGCCTCCTGCACCTTGGCTGCTGTGAACTGCACATTTCGTTCTGAGCGTTAGGAGACTGCAAGGAAGCATAAAGCCCGTGGCTAGGCCTAGGCGTTTGCAAGCCAGTGCTGAGGGTGGGGCGTGCCATCCAGGTGGAAACAAGTCAATCCTGTCGCAACAGAAGAATGGCAAAGGAAAGTCAACCTGTGCAAGGTAACCAAGACATACCAAGACTGTTTCAGGGTCACCCGCACGCCTGTAGCCCACTTCACTTGGAGCTGTTCGCCAGGAAGCTTGACGCGTCGTCACCTTGTTTGTCCCGAGGACGACTTCTCAAAATTGGGATCTTAGCCTCCGCAGCCGAATCTGCTTGACAGCGATTTGCTTGGTACCTGACCCACCACTGCCCCTTCTCGCTTTCCCTCTTGGGTTGCCGAATGACCTGCCCAGCGGAAGGAAAAACGAAGCAAACGGTAACGCTACGGGAGCATTAACAGCATCTTCTTGCTGCCCGGTGTTCACCTCGAACGGTTGCAGCAAAGATTTTTCGACTTGGCAAGCGTCCGGAAAGACTTCGGACGACCCAAAGGTATCAGGCTGCTTCGACTCGGGACTTGGTTTTGGCACAAGCTTAACCCAGGCCGCCCAGGCCTCCTTCTTTCGGGAGTGGCGGGATTCCTTGGTAAAGCACCGCTGACGGGCCAGCTCTGAGACTGGAGCTGAACACGCTTTAGGTTCAAAGCTATAGATTCATTTAGCATGGGCTTGGGCTGAATGCTCGGGAGATTCGCTCTGGCTCTACACGTCCCTGAACTTGCGCAAGGCTTTACAATCAGAAAGCGGCTCCAACTGCCCGTCTGACCTCACGAAGGCAGACCCACAGAGCCCTTCCATCCATCATCATCAAAACAAGTTGGTTCACAGGTTCTTGTAAGAGGGGGCCTTGCAAAGCACATCGTCGAACTGGGCAAACGGCGGAAGCGACTGCGGGTGCGCTGAGGCGCCGGGACCTGGAGATTCACAGCAGGACTCCTGACTTGTAATTGAAAAAGACTCAGATCTTGTTGAATGGTTTTGGAAGAGAGGGTTCCGAGGCTTTCGCATGCCACCACAAATTCCTCCTGCCCCAACAACTGTGCAGAAACCCCACCGTGCGCCTCCACTCCTGCCCCTCGCCGCTTTGACGAGGAGACGTCGCGGCAAGGCTAAAAGCTGCCTCGGGGTCTGTGTGACCTACTACCAAAGTTCCCCAAAACGACCACCGCGGTGGTAAGATGACATACTGCCGCTGCGTGCACATTGCCACTATACCACAGTCCAATACCGCCACGCAGACAGATCCAACAAAACGTAAAATGGGCCCACCACAGATGGAGCCTTTTCAACATCTACAATCTAAAACGCAGGAGCAAGCCTTCCTAAAAAGACCTTGATATCTGATAGCACCCTCCCTTTCAAGCTTGAGTCCACCTGAATGCCCTGCCTTCTGCCGATGTCCTTCCATTTCGAAGGGGACTGCCTGCGACAAAGGATCGCCAATTGCAGGTCCGGTGTTCACGTTTTGGAAACAAAAAATGCATGGTTTCCACTGGACTGGCAACGATATCATTCTCAACTTGCCGCGAAAAGCGATCGCAAATTTTGCAGACCTCATGTTGCATCATCGGGCGGTAATGGCCCGAGCGAAGGTGACAACATACGATCATTCAATGCAGGTGAACATATGTCCAGCTGCTCACAAGTGTCGGCAGACTTCAACACGGGGATCTTGTTAAAAAGGTGTGTTATAAAAAAGGTCACACTTTTGGCGACATTGCTGGAACTTGGAACACTACGTATTCAGTCTGGTGCTTACGATATAAAGCGGAATTCAAGTGCAACTGGCGCACCTTGACGAAAAGGCAGTGGCACTCCTGGTCAACCCGTACGAGCCCTCAACGCTGCAGCATCTCTCGCGCATTCAAGCTTGAATGCATGACCCGCTGCTGGCGAAAGCCGCGCGCCTACATCCGTGGTCCAACGGAACCAAACTCAAATGATTCATGCTGTGTGCTATTGTGGCCACACTTAGCCACTTAGCCCACCAATCATAGGGCATGATCGACAAATATTTCCAAATCCAATTTTAAATGGGGAACTTTTGGAAAGAGCTTAAACCCTGATCGCAAACAAGTTAACACCCCAAAACGAGTGGGCGGCCAACAATCAGGAGTAGTGAGTAGTTGAATACCCCGAAAACCAACACAAGGATTGGTTCGCAAAACCCAGAAAAGCATGACCTGATCGAAAACGTGGATCGGAAACGCCCGCTCTACGGGGGTGTTTGGTCCCAAAACCGGTGCGAAATCGAAGTAGTAGTTGTGGTGGTAAGGTTAGCAGTAGCAACAATAGTAGTTGTCGTCGTAGTAGTAGTAGTAGTAGTAGTAGTGGGGTACTACTACTACTACTACTACTACTGCTACTACTGCTACTACTGCTCCTACTACTACTCCTACTACTCCTACGACTACTACTACTACTACTACTACTACTACTGCTACTACTGCTACTACTATTACTACTACGCCGTCCCCCCCTGGTGCGACGCCCCAAG